TTTTATATCACAGAAGTTATCCAATTATTTTCGTCGATCATCAGGTGAAGCGATACTTTTTTCAAGGGACTGTATATGTAATCGCAAAAAATGTTTGTAGATGGTTTTCTAGAAATAATAAAGCCTTTGGAAGGTGACGATCGGTTATTTCGTAAACTAAAGAATGTAATTTGTATGAGTTAATACCATTAGATGAAGTTTTAGTAATCAAAGTATACTGATTTCGTGCTTGATATATCTTCGTAAACACATCTAAAAGCACACTTTCGGGAAAGAATATGCAATTTCTTTGGTATATATGGATATTTCATAGAACCTATGAAATGTTGTCAAAAAGTAATATCCTTTCGATGCTGAAAAATAAAACGTGCCTCCTTTTTCAGTTGTTGTTCAGTGAAAAACTTAGCCGTACGTCATCAAATAATGCTGTGAATGATTTCTGCAGAATTATCACTTAAAAAGGCGAAATAATTAGTAACCATAAAAGACATCGGAAAAAAAATTATTTGAATTATCATTTACTTCATGTAAAGAAGTATCTAGATGTTTATTTATTTGTCTCTTCATTTTGTTTTATATTCTTTTTCATATTGACCTTGTAAAATTATTTCTGAGAAAAATGAAGCGTGGTCACCTTGAACAGAATTGGCATCTTCATTATTTTCATGACTTTTACCATGACCTTTACCAACTGCTATAACTTCATGACTTTTGTGATTTCCATGAATTCAATAACCTCCACGACTTCTGTGATCCAAAAAAAAGCCAAAGAATTTAAGAAAAAACCAATAAATAAAACAATCGTAATAAAAAAGATTTCTACGACTTCTGTGATTTTATTTCATTATACAGTAAATAATATATTAAAGGATAATTTTAGTCTGAAATGAATAGAAAAAAAGGGTTAAAAAAGGTTTTAAAAAAAGTTTAAAATTTTTTAAAAAAATCTAAAGTATAATATTTCTATTTATTGTAATAAATTGTTGATGTCTTCAGGTATTCCTACTTTCCTTTTTTATTAACAATAAATCATTGATGATTCCAGTTATAATTCTATTTTTTTTTGAATGCAAAAATAAACAATACTTTAATAATAAAAATTTTTTTTTTTTGAATACTGTTAATACAATTTCTTCCAATTCACTAAAATTTTATTTGCAATCCTGGAAAGAAATTTTAGATACAAATGATGATTTTTCTTTCAATTACCCAAATTCAATAATTATTATTAAAATAACACTCCTTATACCTTTTTCTAATGCACATGTAGAAAGAATATTTTCAGAAATGAAGTTGATAAAAAACAAATTGAGAAACAAAATGAATATTAATACATTGAATAATCATTTAATGATTTTATTAAATGGACCAGATATTCAAAATTTTGATTTTAAAATAGCATATGAACATTGGGCAAATAATAAAAAAAGAAACACTTGTTATTAATTATAAATTTTTTTGTTAAAAAAAATATTTATTGTTTTATTTTTATATATATTAATAAAAAAATGTAATCAATTTTCAACACTGCCCTTAGGGAAATTCAAATTAAGTTTTTTTGCTTCTTTAATTAATGTTGGTACTACTTTCTTTTCAAGATATCTTTCAGAGTAGCGACCCTGACATACTGGTGGATCCCTGTAGCTGTGGCAGTGTTGAAGAATTGTATAGAGATCTACTTGGGAGTGTCTAAATGGATTATCTATATCATCAAGGGAAGCTTCAGCAACTTGTCCCTTGTGTCCATCACAAGGCCATTTGTTTAACATGTGTTTCAAGATAAGCTCCTGTTGACATGGTTTTTCTGCTTCATAGATAATTTGATCTTCTAATCTTTTCCAGTACTCTTCTGGAGGTTGCTCATCAACCTCAGAAAGATGGGAGATTGCTCTCTTGTATGAAGTGAAATTAGTTTGAATGTGATCCAATTTGTAATTTAATGTTAATTTCCCCTCCTCAAGAATTTTATCAACAAGTCTATTCATTTTATCAATAAATCCTCCTGATTCCCATATATACAATCTGTAATCTTTATTGCGAGACTCACATTCATGCATGAATTCTATTTGATCATTAAGCTTTTTTTTACTTTCTTCATCATGACTAGCAGCAGACTTTTCTTTAAGATTTCTAATAATAGCTTTAATAGTCTCTCCTCTGAAATTGTTAAATAAATAAATGTAGATAAATGAAATAAATATGTTTATTTAATCAATTAATTAAATGTTATATAATTACTTAATTGTTTTTTTATAATGACATATATTGCAGTATCTTGCATAAAACTGCCAATATATTGTAGTAAGTTCAATTTCACCACAAACTATGCAGGATTGAGGTGAAGCAATGAAGAATCTAATATATTGTAATTCATTCCAGTTTGGTGGTGGAGGTCGTTTCAATCTTTTAAAATAAGCCAATCTTGCTTTTTTCCAAATTTGTTGGGTTGCATTACATGTATCCATTAAGATAAAATGGAATCTTGAACACGTTTCTGCCAGTGCCAACAAACTGGATGGTGGTAAATCTTCACAAATTTGGACAAATATTTCAACTGGTATGTTTGCAAAAATTGCAAACTCTTTCCTTTTGATACTATATTTTTGTGGTAAAAAATGAGAATTCCTAATATAATAATATAACTAGAGTAACGATGAGTGGCGGGCGATAACCACCACCATCCTTATGATAAACACTTACCAAACATTTTCTTTTTTTCTATCTTCTTTCTTCTCTTTGTATTTTTTGATGACATTTTTATTTAATTTAATTTTTTATCTAAAAAAAAAAAAAAAAACAAACACGTAAACAATATTAACATTATTATTGGCACTTGGTGTTGCACAGATTTTTTTTTTTGTTGACGCGAATTGATTGATTTTTTTTTTCTTGGAAAAACGATCTAAGATGACAAAACATGAGTGTTGTTGTTGACTCTGAAGCAAATATGCTGTTATAGGTAACAATTTTTTAGCTGTATTGATATATATATTTTAATTATTATAAGTGTTTTAATTGAAATCAAAACGCGGAGTAGATCTCGCTGGATAATAAGATTCTTATCAAGATGATAAATGAATGATTGGCATTTTGCTTTTTGTAATCAATAATATTATTATAATCACAAGATGTCAAGGCAGCATGACTGACTGTTACGGAAGAAACAATTCAAATATGCGACAGTTTAATTTGATTATTGAAAAATTACGGATGTTGAAGCATGCACGCCACCTTGAACACCATACAGTCATTCTCACATCTTCCTCGTGTACACAAGGCTAATCTGACTAGTGTCTCCCGATGGTATGATGATGCAACTGAATTTTCAGGGGGGAGTTGTCATGGAGT